TGCACACAGCCTGGCAGAGCCTGCTGCAACCTACAGGCAGAAAGCCCTTCATTTTCCTCCCTGAAACGGAGCCTAGCAGACCTGCAGAGGGGCGGCCTCTCAGCCTGGGTTCCACGGCAATACCTGTCATTGCTGTAACTGGCTGGATGCCCGGTGTCCCTCCCTGTGTGCCCTGATGGCTTTAGCTGTGAAAACGCTCCTCACAAAGAAGGCTCTCACAGGCTCTAGCCATGGGAGCCCTACTGCCAGGCTTTCAGGAAACTAGAATGAAATGGGCAAAACAAGAGTTTGTCCAAAGCCAAGCCGGACAGGAGGTTCCCACTGCTTGGAAGTCTATCTGTGTGTTCCAGAGACGTGCAGGACAAAGACCTACACATGGTTATTTTTGCAGAAACAGAAACAGGTTTAGATTATCCTTTTCCACCCCGTGGCAGTGGCCACCTAAGAAGTGAGTGCTGAAGGGACATTTGTTTTAGCACTAACAGAGCCTCAGAGAGGGCCTCACTGTGGTCTTCCCTGCACAGACATAGCCCTAGCAGTGGCACAGCTGCAGGGCTGCTACACACAGCGTTTAGGGGTTTGCCTTCTCCTTTCATCTGTTTCCAAAGTGACAGTGGCATTGAGTTTGCCCTGATGGGCTCTGCTCCCTTCAGCTCTTCCCAACAGCTATAAGGCCACGTCTTGCCTCCCTAAAGTGTTATTTTTGGAGAGGGTATTTGGGGAAATGAAGGAGTTGAAATATCCATCATATGCCTTTGCACATCTTTCATGCATTGGGTACTCAATTGATGGAATTGGATCAAGATGCATATGGTATGCATTGGACGGCTTTCCCCATCTGGAGCCCAGCTGTGCAGGTTCGCCCCTGAATCTAAGATGCAGATATCATAGAACCAGGAGAGCAAAATCAGTACAGGATGCCCATCCTTGTACTGCAGAAATAATTTTACCCTTTGATAAAAAAGGTCAAGGCAATTGAATAGTTGAACATATTCAAGAAAGGATTTGTTACTGAGAGAGAATGTAGCATATTGATTAAGACTTTACAGACTGGAATCAGAGAAACTTGAGGCTAAATGGCAGTTCTTCTGTTTGTTTTCTGTGTGACCTTAGGCAAGTAACATAGCTTGGCTAAGCTCTGGTTTGTTTATCTGTCAGATAAAGGTAATTACATTTCCTATCTGGGAGTAGTATTGTGATGATGAGAACACTTGTGAAAAACATAAACTACCACATCATAAAACCAAAATTCACAGCTAGCTGTTATAACAATAAATCTTCAGAGGAAGGGACTCCCCTTTACAGGAAATTTTTTCAAACACCCACATCTGAACTTGCTCTTTCTATCTCTTTCTGTTGTTAGAACATCCTTATCTTAAGCCAACACTTTAGCATCTTTATTTTCTGGCTTTTTAATTCTTATCTACCTTTGGAACCACATGGAAAGACTTATGTCCCTTTTTATAATGGCAGTGACTAGGTCACTGCCTGTGGAGCTCTAGGGGTCATACTTCACACTGTAATCTGTATAAATGGCACCCCCTGGTGTCAGCCTTGCTGGAGAGGCGAGGAGGGAAGTTGAGGAAAGGAAAGTTGTAGAGACCCTGGCTGTATTCCTGTTCATGAAAAACCCTCCAGAAGGAAGGAGCACACAATGCCCTATTTTTTCCAGACAAAGCAGCTAGAATTTTATCAACACTTCCTCACCGGACTTGATTTAACACCAAAGCCCATTATCCTTGGGCAGTACTCCTCTTCAAGCAAAGTGCCTGGAAAGAAGTCAGCATCACATTTCCTACCTGGGAAATGTGACGATGGCACAACCAGAGCCAAGGAGAACATACCTGGGCCTTCTTCTGTCTGTATGTTAGAATTAGGGTACACAGGCAATCTTAGTACTGAATCCCTACATAAATGACTTCCTGAATGGTGGGGCTGGTGTTTAATCACATATCCTGCTGTCTTTCTCCACTTGTCTTTAGTCATAACTTTTAATTTAAATGCGTGTGTATATATATATATATATATGTATAGTTTTTTCTACAGTCTATAGTGGGAGTTTCCAGAGATACATCTGTTTTCAGACATTTTACTGATTCCTAGCACAGTTTCTGGGTAAATAAAAATTTATCTAATTTGAATATTTAAGTAGACTCAAAACAAAAAGAGAGTATCCGCTAAAATTTAAAATGGCCACCATGGCAATGCAATAAATCTGTTCTGTGTGCACACTGTGCGTGGGATAAAGTACCCTTTAGAAATGGTGGCAAGTTTTTATTTGGTCAATGAATCATAATTCTCCAAAGTATAAGCACGACGCTTAGGGGAGCCCTTGGTAATAATTCTTCACGTGTGGTTTTCTTGTCCACATTCTTCATATATGCAGTGATTTCCAAACTACACTCTGTGGAGCCTGTGGGATTCTGAGAGGATGTCCCAGGGATGTGCGGGAGGGGTAGAAAGAATGAGACAGGGGTGGGCTTCTGTCAGCCTCTATTTCACCAGAGCTGTCTGCCTTTTGCTGTTGGAAACTGAACTTCCCTGTAGTATTTTCTTTGAGAAAAAAAAAAAGAGTTTAAAAACCATCAGTTAAGCTACTTCCTGGTCACATCAGACAGGTGGGGAGTATGATCATGTCCATGTTTCTTCTCACATAATGAATTTCGGGGTGAAGCAGATTTGAAAGAAGCATCAAAATTAAATTTTTAATTGTTGAACTTGAAGTAATGTACTTGGAACTCGCCACAGTGTGGTTTAAAGGGAAGTAACCACACTGTCATCACTGTCACTATCATCATCACTATCCCTGTCAAGCCCCAACCCCCATCACAAACAACAGAGGTAGCATTTTGATCTGGTAGAAACCTGGAGTTTTGACAGACACCCAAGTATTGGTGTGGGTCTGTGATTTTCTTCTTATTTGGGGGAGCTTTTTGAGAAGTCTTGTCTACTTCAATGGCAGGAAAAAAAGTCCCTACTGTACCTTTTGAAATAGAACTCGTGGGTGTTTTTCTCACTCTAATGTGAAATTCAGATATCAAAAATGGATCTCTTATTACCCCTGGTAGGTGGTCTTCTCTGGAGACATTTCTGAAGGACCAAGGGCAGAACAGGCAGCCATATTTCCTTTTCCCACCATTAGGCCCACTTTCCTAGAAGCTCATGACCAGTGAGACCAGGGTAGAGTACTCTGGCATCCACCTTTAACCCCAGATTGTCGATGTGGTGGTCTGGCCTCCTCTAAGAATCATAATTTTAATAATGGCTGCCTATAGTGGGAGTTCCCAGGGATACATCTGTTTATAGACACCAACATTCCTGCCACTTTTAATGTTAAATAAATATTTATGAATAGCTTGTCAAATCTCTTGATCCATTGTTTCTTTATCTGAAAATTAGAGCCAGTAGTATCTTACAGGGAGGGAATTTCTACAAATTAAATGAAGAAGAATGACAAAATAATTAGGAGAAATTTGAAATAAAGTTGGAAAAGAACAGTAGTAAAAATGTATTGGAAGTTGACTAAAATGGTGACCCACAAGCCCTATAGCACTAGGAAGGAAAATGATGAACACAAGAGGCACAAATGTCATTGTGCTAGAAAAAGAAAGAACGTTGCCATAATATCTTCACTCTCTTCAGACTTGTAGTGTACCAGGAAAAAAATCTTAACTATTTTCAATATAAAAACTAACTGAAAGAGAACAAACTATTTCAATTTTTCTCTTCTTTTAGGGCCATATATAAAAATCTACTATGACCAGCAAATATGTGCCTGCTTTCTTCTTGATCTATATTAGCAATGCTTAATATATCAGGAATGAGGAGTTTTTCATTGTGGAAAATTCTACCAGGTTTGATATCTTCAATTAAGGGAACATACATGCACCGATTGCCTCCTCTCTGGGGTGCTACTTTAGATTAGGATATAGCAGTATACAACTCAGGTAGCCTCTTTATTTTTCTGTAACCAATCTTTGTATTTAATCCTCCTAAATCCCCATCTTACAAAGCCAGATGAGGGTGGGGGACGGACAGGGAATAGGAAGTTTTCTACTTACAAGAGGCTTTGGATTCAAAATAGTCTCCTAAAATTTAAATTGATTCATTAGAATAATCTTAGCATTGGGGAGAAAATGTTTACTATTCTAGATTCTCCCCTAAGCCAAGATGGCCTCTGATTGAAGAGAGAAGCTTATGGGTCTCTGTGGTGATGGATAGGATGGTTCACCAGCTGAATCTCTGACCCACAGAGGCCAGGTAGGTCTGGCTCTTGCAGCTGTCTGATATATGTAGCATAAGTTCATGCCAGTGAAATATATGGTCTATTTACTGCTGGCCCCACCTGCGGGTCACTGTAATGGTCTGGTTTTGAGTGTTGGCATCTAATTGCTGGCTCTATCATGCAGCATGATGACTGGTCTTTGAACAGCTACCTAGATAACCACCGAAGAGCTTCCTGGCACACAGATGCATGACTCTCTTCCTTCCCACACTTAGGGGGGTCTATGCTGTATTCATGGTGGTGGTTTATTTTCTCCATGAGGCAGTTTTACTTGGAGTTAGTAAATCTCTAGTCCCCAAGAAACCTAGGAATTCCCATGTTAACCTCATTTTTGAAGAAAATCTATGCCATAGCCTAGATTACTGTGATATACCTTGGTTTTTCCAAATCATCATCTGAGAAATGTTAAATTTAGTACAAGAATTCTTTAAAAGGATTTAACATTTTCCCAGTCTCTGCCCAGGGAAACCTCTCTGATCTAGATATGTTTAAAGTTATTTTATTTCTCAGAACCTGTTCAGGAGATTCCACCTGCCTTCTTGTCTGCACAATACCTTTCTCCTTCCTGAAGCAGAAACTGCACTCTTCCTTCTCTAGGTTCATGTTGGTAGTAAGAAACTAGCTCAGAAATGATAATCAAAAATAAAGTCAAAAACAAACCAAACAAAAACACACAGCAGAAAGAATTTTAAATTATCCTTCTCTTCATACATACCTTAACTAATCCTTCTTTATGAGGGCCCTCAGCGCACTTGTGGCACTGAAGAAACTGAAGCTCACAGTGGTTCTATCACTGCCCATTGTGATCAAATCAGGATTCTATGACATGCCACGGTGCTTTCTAAGGCCCTACCACAGGGAGAGTTGTTTTCCTTTGGCAAGAAGCTGCTCTCTACCAGGGTGCTCCTAGCTCTTCAATCTCATTTGCCTTTTGGATGCCCACCCTACCCCTCCCCAAGGCAATGCAAAGGCAGACAGCTGTGAAGGTTGTTTTGGTTTGGGGATATTTTTGCAAGGGAAACCAATATAATACAGGACATATATTTTATATAATTATTTATAATAGTCACCCAAAGAACAATATACAAAAGAGTGCAGGAAATCTGTCCACACAATAAGACCAAGCAATGCAGCTGAGGGTCTGGATCCCACGGAAATGTCCTGCATGAGTCCAGCTGAAGACCTAGAGCCATAACAATGCCTCCCATGAATCCAACTGGAGGCCCAGAGCCCATAACAATATCTCATGCAGACTTGTTTTATGGATCTGCACTGCAAAGACCTAAAGGTCAGTGGTGGAATCTAGGAAGTCTGTGCCAGTGGGATGAAGGATCTGTGCCAGCAGGCTGAGGGATCTGCACTGGAGCCAGGAAACAATGCACAAAGTAAGAACCAGAGCTCCCCCAAAAAGTACCACAGCCATCCTCAGCAGCAGTGAGGTCCTGAGCTCCTCCAATGGTGAAGACACCTGTGTTCCCATCAGGAAAGCCAATGCAGCAAGCTTCTTCAGGAGACTGAGCTGTGCACCTTCTTCCCCTCTGGAGCCAGGAAGCGATGCTCACAGTGATGACCAGAGCTCCCCCAAAGTGAACCAAAGCTATTGTCAATGCCACCAAGGTGCTGAGCTCCTTGGAGGATGAAAACAGCCAAGTTCATCAGGAAAACCAGCACGATGAGCTCCTCCAGAACAACCAACAGCTCCTTACAGCTTCTATCAGCTCCCAACAGCCTCTCTTAGCCCCCAACAGCCTCCTCCTTCTCCAGTTCTGCCTCTTATGCTGCTGGCAACAGTCCTCAGGTGGGCCTCCCACACCCAGCACCACGCTTACTCAGTTCAGCTGGGGGTTATAAGTCGACCACCAGTTGTCAATCCACTACACAGGTCAAGAAGTAGCTTCATATGGAATTAGCACATCATGACTGCACAGCGATTTCTCCATTAACTGAATGCTCGTTCACCACCTTCTACACCTGTCATCACCTTCTTCTCTGCACCTTAAGACTACAATGAAGTGGTGAGCTGACAATAAACAGAAAGTGAGTGTGGAGGCTTTTAAAAACAAGTCCAAACATTTGGCTGGAACCCAGAAGGCCTTGTTCTTTGCACATTAGAATTCACTCCTACACAGTTTTCCAGAGGAGATTGAAATTCCTTCGGTCATGTCATAAACAGTCCTCTTTAAATCATGCCCCTAATAGAAAGAACAGAAGATGAAGCATGAGCTGTAAGTCATTCGCCTGCTGGATGTGCACAGGTCTGTATAACATGTGGGGTCCGCCCTTGCATCAAAGACCAAGTGCACAAGTGCAGGGAGATGGGAGGAAAAAGACAGAGTCCACCTGGCCAGCCTGGTAAAAGGCTGGACCCCTCCTAGGGAGGGAGTCTGTAAAGAGCTTGCTGGATCCCTGGAATTTGCAGTGGTCTGAGATGGAAACAGAAATAAATGCATGGTTGTCAGGTGGGGGGGACTGCTACGGCAAGTGATTTCTTGGCTTGTCTAGGGAACTGTTACATAGTCTAGAAGCAGCTCCAGAGTGAACGCAGCTTCCCACTTTCTCCAGGCTTCTAATCCCTTCCAGATTCTCAAATTCTTTCTCTGCCACCATCTTCTCCCTTGCTGTAGCCCAGAGGGGAAAAGCATTTGTCCCCTACTGGCAAAGCAGACAGTACAGACAAGTAGATTCCGTGCCCCCCATCAACATTTTCCTCTGCAACCAAATGAACCTTCAGCTTTTCTGTTCATGTGAATGAACCAGGGAACTGACACATTTAATCTCAGTCTTGCATTTTCTGGCATCTATGCAAGGAACAAGGACCCTAGATGACCCTTCCTAAACAACTGATAAGTCAAAATTTATCCCACTTTTGTTAGACCAACCCTCATCCCCTTCCCCAAATTCATGGTCTGTTATCCACGCTCCTTTACAGGAGCATCACCGGGTGAGGCAGCCCTCTTCAAGCTCAAGTTCGAGTTCTGGCAGACGTCTGAAGCCTATCTTCAAATTTTGGTTCTGCGTCTAGTTAGCTGAGTGGCCTAGAGTAATAAATAATACTACTACTAATAATAATAATGTCTATCTACCACCAATTGAGCATCTAGTAGATTAAGCCCTTTTGTCAGTATTTAAGAATTATTATTCTAAGAAAATTATTAACATCATTTTTAAATTTCCTAGTAGCTGGAAGCATTGGTACGTCATTATCTTATTTTCCCTCTATGGTTATTAAATTTGAAAACAAAATAGCGGCAGCAACAAACCCCATAAAACTGAATGGTTGTCCTGGATTCTCAGCCAGGAGAGAGAGAGAGAAAACGGATGTGTGTGTGTGTGTGTGTGTGTGTGTGTGTGTGCGCGCGCGCGCGCGCGTAAGTGCTAGGATTTTGAGGCATTGCTTCCAGTAGAATTCAAGTGGTAAAACAAATGGTAGCAGGCAGGCAATCCCCTGAGACATTCTGGGACAAGCAGAAAGGAATCAGGATGCTGCCTTGCAAACATGGTGCATGCCTCAGGCAATGAATGCTCACCTTGGCATTGCTAAATAACCCGTGTTCGGTGCTCAAGTCCCAGCATGGATCCTCCTTTCCTGGTTAACCATGGAAAGCTACTTCACCTTAATGAGTTTTGGGTTCTGTTCTATAAGATTGGCAATAGCCAGCTACCAAATTCAGAGACTATGACTATGGTCCGGCTCCTTCTCCCCGATAGAACAAGTGCTGTGGGAACTAGGACAAATCCTTGACCATCTTTTAAGTGCGTTTCCTTACCTAAAATAGAAATACTGGTGCCAAGGGAACCTCACTGAGCACCCCAGGTTGCAGTGTGACAATGCTAGGGCCAAGCGTTGTAAACAGTAAGACATATGTAGAAGAGAAGGGATTGATAGGTGCAGGGCAAGTCCCTTCTAGCTAAGATATATTCATATTTTTTGATTCTTATTTATTTGGAGGAGAGGAGCTTTCTAAAGCTTCCAGCAGCCCTGCTACTCAATATGGCTACTCCTTATTTCTTACAGTGATAGCTTGAGGGATGGTTCCTCAGGGGTTCCTCAGGGATGGTTTCAGGGGCTTATGATGAAGTAATCATCATAAGATAATGATGACTCAACAGGCATCATTATCTTATTTCTGGGCTGATCAGACTCTGGCTGAAGAATAAAAGATTTTTCTTTCAATCTGGCAATCATTTTCTTCTTCACTCTACAGTCACTGAACAAGGTCAAGTTCAGAGACGGGAATTCCTTACACAAGAACTCCCTGATTGTCTGGGAGAAATTAGTTCATAGTTCAAATGGGTGTGTCAAGACTCCTGTGGCTTGCTCTCCCATAAGATTTTTCTAAGTCGAACTGAAGATGGGTTGGAACATTCACTGTGACCATTCTGTAATGGATCATTGTAGGTATCCTTTGTGAATTTATGATCCCATTTCACCCCTTTTCTTAGCGGATGGGTGGTGTGGTAATGGGCTTTGTCTTCAGTTATTGATTTAAATTAAGCATAGCTCATCCTTTCCAAATACTGGGCTGTGTACACAGGTGGACAGGCTATTCGTTTTAGGCATTTAAATCCTGACTGTTTTGCATATTGGTATAGATAGATTATCAAGCTGCAAAAATATAAGGATCATCTCCCAATGAGCCCTCTCATATTGTTTCTCAAAGGTTATCAAAACAGAGGCACATTCAGCTTTAGCATCTGTTCTCTGACCTTCTTAAAGGGGTTAATGTTGGAGAAGTTAGTTCAATTCCATCTTGGAAGTAATCATGTTTATTGACTTCTTTTGAAGGCCCTAACTTGACTACTTACTAACAATGTGTTCTGATATAAATCATTTCCCTTTGCTGAACCTTTGCTCAGTTTGCTTATCTAATGGGAGTATGAGGTATAAAACTATACTATTATCATCTTTTAAAACCATATTTATTTTATCTCTAACATGTAAGTTATTCTCTCTCATACTATCTGTGTGCTAAAGCGAGGAGTATATTTTACTTCACTTTATCAATAGTATAGTACCTCGGTTGTGGTAATTATTTGACATGCATTTACTGAATAGAGTGAAACAGAATTTATTGTGAGTGGTGCTAATGCAGAATAGTTCCGCACTGAGTTGATTTCTCAGTGGTAGACCTGTTGAACTTCCTAATGTACCAAGAAGTAACTGGGAAGGAAGGAGAGCTCAGCCCAGTGAGGTGAGCCTATAGGCTGTGGTGTAGTCCTGGACAGTAGACCTGAAAATAGAACCTATCTCACCGAAATCTCAGTCCAGGTTCCTTTTCACCATGAGTCCCACACATATTTTTACACTTCTGTTAGGGGAAAGAAATGTAAATGATACAAAAATACAGTGAAAACTGTGTACCCTCGGGATGTGAACATAGGAAGTAAGTGACAGAGAGTGGGTGCTAACTTAGACAGTACAGGGTGTGGTCTGTGAAGGTGTATTCGATGGAATCACATTCAAGGAAAGACTCAAAGGAAGGGAGAGAGTGAGCTGGGTGCATCTCCTGGAAAGTGCAGTCAGGCAGAGAGGACACAGGACAAAGGCAGTGGGAGTGTCCTTGGGACATAAAGTAAAAAGAGAAGAGGGAGGAGATGAGAGGATAGACATGACTCCCCATTACATTGCAGGATATGCAAGATGTAAGAAAGACCTAAATTTATCTAAGTGAGATACAAGTAATAAGGGTTTATAACAAAATACAAAAGTGATATGATTTACATTTTAGAAGGCTCATTTCTGTGGAAAATCAGCTGTAGGGGTGT